TAAAGCTTGCTTTTTTTAGAGAACGTCTTCATGAGAAGTCTATCAATAATTCAGTTTCTCTTACAAGTAACAGTCATTCATGACCTTTACTCATCTACTGCATTGAAAATTTCAGTCAAGTATTCCACCCTGGCAATATCTTAGGCAGCGACGCAGCGTCTCTGATAATTTCACTTACTTTAACTGTGGGTGGCCTGGGCTGGAGGCTCAAGGTGTGGCCCTGGTTAGGTTCAGGAGCTGTATTTAGCTTTGCAAGGCTGTAGCCTCGCCTGTGCAGAGTCAACAGCAGACTTCGATTTTTCAAACATTTACTTAGGTGCTTTACACCAAGACCAGCCGAGTGACTCAGAGCATGAAATGAAGCACAGAGGAGCTGAGACTTTACCTTATGAATCAGGCCAGGCTGTGATGGACTCTGTTACCCTGGGTGAGCTGAATAAGTAGTGTTTGCTTCAGTTTGTCCGTATTTAAAATAGAGATAATTCCGTATTGGAAAGTTCTCAAGATCCTTGGCTCTGAGTTATTATTTAAAAATTAAATCTACCATTAAAAAGACGTGTTGTTAAGGGGTAAATAGCAAGAAGAAAAAGTTAAAAATACATATGGCATGCTATTTTCCATGAGTTGATATTTATGTTATTGAGTTCAAATGAGGGGAATTATTTCCACTGGAGAAGCTTCTCAGGAAAAAAGCAAAGTTAGGCTCCAATTAGTAAAAAGATCTATATTTGCACACTATATAGAGCAGCACTGTCTTCAAAACAGCGCTGCAAACACCTGCCATTCTGCTCTTTGCTGCTTCCCTTTTCATCACGCTGTCTGTGAACAGCCTGTTTGTGGTATTTCATCCTCTCTGGTGTAACTGCCATGACTTTTAACTTTCAAGCACCTGCGCCAGCATCGTGTAAGGTGGGCAATGAGGAACAGGATATGCAAACACTAGAAAAAAACAGCAAAAGACACCAGCCAGCTTCACAAAGCCAATGCTGGGAGGCAGTTCTGCATCAGCTCTGCAAAAGAGTGAACACTGCCTCACCCTGAGGTAGGGTAAAATCTGATGCTGAATACTCTGGGGCAATAAATTAGCACTGGCACAAATCCTGATCCTGATCTTACTGATTTCACTACAGACAGGACCGTACCTGAGCTTATGTATCTCAAAATGCTGCAAAATCTGTAACCTAAGTGACAGTGTAAAATACTGACATTCTTATTAAAAAGAGTACCTATGGCCTCTGTGCTTATTATATATCATGTCCTAAAATCTAGTAATTGAAAGCTCACATTCATTAATGCTTCAAGCCAAAAGCATCTTAATGACATAAATTTGCTTTAATTATTTCTAATGTTCTACCGTTTGTCCTATTATTTGCTGCCAGTGTAGAGAGAAAGGGACATATTCTCTCTTATGTAAATAAACACTATTAGAATCAAGATTTTTTTCCCCCACAGTTGTTATGGAGAACATACCCCCCACTTATTATTGCGAATATACCAGCCATGTGAGTAACAGGGCCATCAAGACAGCTTACTAAGATGCCAAGAGTATTTACAATTGTAGCAGGTGGGATAAGATGTATTTTCTGCAATTCTTTTGACAAAATGTAAGTCTCCTGTCTTCAAAATACTTGGCAGAAATTTTCAACTTTAAAGAATGGAATTTGAAAACGTTATCCATTCAATTGCTGAAAAAAAAAAAGGGCAAATATTGAGTGGAGCCAGAATTTTAAACAAACTTTTTCAGGGAAAATATATGCCACTTATAAAGATGTGTTTGTTTGTTAGTTTATTACTGATATTTTAGGAGAATCTAAATATCTCATAAAATTAAATAATTTTATCCCACTTAAAATGCAAGCTCCTGTTCTGGTATTCAGTAAGGTATGGTGCCAGTCTGTTCAATTCAGTTTGGTTTTGTCATTTTACCAGCATATTAAATATATATTTGACTTGCATTTTAGTATTCTTTAATCTAAACAATGAAAGCCAAAGCTGGCAATGTCCTCCATTGCCATGCATATATCTCCTACTTGGAACAAAATGTGAAACTTAACTTCAGTTACGTGCCAAGCAACCAGGGCAAAGCCAGGTTTGTAGAAAGAGAGATTATTTTTTGCTTAAACTTGTAGGAGAAAAGCATGCATGCTTTCAGTCACTCAGTCATTTCTGAAACTCAGAAAAGTCACCAGACTGAAGCAGAAATAGCAACCTCATATTGCTGTGGGTTCAGAGAGAGGTTGAAAATCCAATTTCATGTTCAGCTATGTTGTGTAATTTCTTAAACCGTATTTTCCACTAGCAGTCTCAGTCCTTTCTTCCCAGTGTTTGTATTAACACAAGTAATTTTATTGTGAAAAGGTCCAACATGGGAAGGAGTTGCCATGTTGTGGTAAAGGATACAGCGTCGAGTAATGCAGGACTGAATGGGGTGCTAAAAGCATTTTAAAAAGAGTAGTGCCCCAGTCCTGCAGGTCATCACACACATGCGCCCACCAGGCACACTAGCAGACTCAGAGGAGTGGGGGGTGTCCTCCGAGCCCCCCTGAGCGGGCAAGCCAAGGATATCTGGCACTGCAGAGAAAGGAAATTCTACCTCGGTGTTCAAGGAGAACGGGATTAGTCACTAAACCATGGCCTTTCCAGATTGAACCGACTTTATTTAATGAAAATGCAAATCATCCATTACAAATGCATGTGTGTTGCGGTGTAAAAGTGAATTTACCATGAAATTAGTTTCAGAGTGGGAGAAAACCAGATGCAATTTTTCCCAGTAGTGTTTCTGACAGCCTTTATAGGCACAGCTTTCCCATTGCCTGCAGTGGGAGCTGCAGAAGCCAGGAGTGTGTGCGCAAGGGAATTGATCCATAAGGTTTTCCTGACATTTGGTAGCCTCACATCAGTTAGTTCTTGAGCACATTCTGAACCACTCACAGTACTTTATGTTTATAATTCTCAGGGGGTATTTTCTCATCACTGGTCACAGTTTACAAATGGTTTTTCCCTCCTGGATATCTTGAAATCCTGTCTGATTCTCCCTCTAAAATACTTGCAGCTATCTGTTTATTTCTCTTGGTTGTGACCAGAAAATGTATTGTATTTATTGTCTTGCAATATGGAAAATTTGATGCAAGTAGAACAGAAAGACTCTAACCAAATCTGGAGATGGGCTTGATCCTGTCTCAGTGATGTACTTCCCACCTGAACAAGTTATTAAAATTTATTATGTAACATACTGAATCAAAATTGTAATATATTGTACTACATACAACTTACTTAGGAAACCTGCAGCTACCACCCCTTCATGAATAATTCTTCATTTAATAAAACAGTTTTGACTTGAAAAAAGCAAATTATGAGTAACAGCTATTCATACAATTAGTCAGGCAAGGTGTCGCTCTGGCATTCAGCTCCAGTCAGAATCTGGGATGGGCCTCGTGTTTGTACTTAGCACTGATACAGTCTTCATCCATGGCCAAGATAAACACAGCAGGAGGCTGAGCAGTTCTGTCTTATATTAAACTGCTATTTCTTACGTACTGGCTATGGCCATTCAATGCTAAATATGTTATATCCTGCAAATTAAAGACAGTCTAATTCTGCTATAATTGATAAACCAAATATAACTCTATCAGCAGTGGAAAACCTCCTAACTTAATATTATTAGGAAATTGGTGAACGTGACCATTAGTGTGGACTGTGACGCTCTTCTAGTCAAATCTCTTTACATCAACTCTCAGGTCTAGCACTGGGCAGGAGGATGGAACTTTTAGAAGAAAAATGTTAGCAACAGGATGAAAAGAATGGGAGACAAAAGGGACTGATTGTCTAACAGGGAAAACCTGACACCGGGGAATGAAAAAAAACCCAGTCATCTTCAAGGATGCAGTAGCACTTCTAAGCAGTATTTCTTCATACAAAAGAAGGTGCTGCTGATTGCTCAGCGCCTGTCAGAACTGAGCTGATGGGAACCCATACCCTGCATGTTATGCTCAGAGTGAGATTCATGGATTCATTTCCCCACCAAAAATGAAGATTAAATGATAGATCTTGAATTCTGGGCAGGAGTGGGAGTACATATAGGAAGTTACACATCCCATCCCTGACCCCCTCCAGGCAGACCAGGCTGCTCTGCAAGGTCTTTACAGCCCCAGAGGCTCGGGCAGTGGTTCCAGCACGTGGCTGTCTAGTACTTTGTGTCCTTCACAGGCCCGATGCTGCCTCTGTGCTGATGCTCCAGCCTACTGCGAGGTCTCGTTATACCCCGGGGGGAGAGACTCTGTCTCTGCTGCCTCTCGGGGTCTCAGGAAGGGCAGAGAACATTTGCCTTTGATCTGTAATTGTTCTACTACCACAATGACACCCTTGGGATGCCATCAAATACCAACGCAAGTTTGCTGTGGCAGATTTCCTGCTATGACAAATTTCTACAGTCCTGCCAAAATACCCGCAGCTTGCTTTGTGCAGACAGCCTCTTGTTGTGCACCACCCCTCTTACTGAGCCGCCTCACAGCAGCGCTAGCGGCTGAGTCAAGGAGCTCTCACTTGACCCTTAAATGAGGGACACATTGTCATAGGCAAGGGCGTCTCACCAGGAAAGCAGCCTTCACAATGGCAGGAAATATCTGCCAGACAAGAGAAAAGGGAGCTGATCCAGAGGCTGGAGTGCTTGTGTGATTTTTGGACACCTGGTCTTTGCTCTGCTTCACCCTTCCTGTGTGACTTGGAGCAAGCTGTATGAGCATCTGAATCCCTTTCGTACCTTCTCATAAGTTTCTAAAGGAGCTCAGGCATGGCAGCAAGAACTAGGAGCCTAGATAACCTTGCTCATCTGCTCCTAAAATTCATTGCACCTCAGTCCCTTGTCTTTAGGGTGGGAACACCAACATTACCTGCCTCCCTGGTCTGTAGTGAGGAGAACACTATGAAACATAGCAAGATTCTTTGATGGCTTAAGGATATCTTAGATATAACTTCATATTAATAATAAATAAGTATCTTACGGTAAGCAGTTGTCTCTCTCTGGCACTGTAAAAGCTCCACTGAATAAAGAAATTTCCCAGCAGTCCAGAACTCGTGTATGTACAGAGGAGGGTTGCGTTTCCACCTGTGGTGACATTCACTGTCTTCTCGGGGATGGTCACCACAACACCGCCGACATGGCCTGTGGGCAGCAAGTGTGGTGAGGAGAGATCAGCCAGGGCCGACCCTGGGAGCCGTGCAGGAGTGCCTTGCTCTCTGCATTATCCATTAAACCCGTAGGACATGTCTAGTCGTTCTCCTTTTCCATACACTTTCCCTTGGGCTTTTAGTGATAACAAGCTGGGAGTGGGTAAAAGCTAACAGGAGAATAAATCCCCCAGAATACCTATGCCCTTAAAACAAATAATATTCTGAAATGGCAGAGTTCCTAAAAACGTACTTGTTCTCACTTGCAGAGTCTTAGCTTCTAAGAACCTTTCTTCTGCACTCTCAGTGCTCCCCTGCACCTTACACTCTCCTTCACAGCTGTCTCTAGCCCTCTCTTATTTTCTTTTGCAGTTATTCCGTTAGATGTCTTATCTCCTTTACAGTGGAACACCATCTCCTACAGTGTTGTCTCTTCTTACATTTTTATGTTCTGACTTGGACTCAGTGGCAGTGTTGGGTTCCCCCAGGCTGGAGCCCAGCAGCCTTTCTCTTGCTTTTCTTTCCTGATTACTTAGCTTTTGTTTAGGTTTCTTAGCGCTTACACGCAGAAGCTGTTCTTTTCCAATGCTTTTACATTAGAAATGTCAAATGAAGCTTTTATTATGTGGCTTGTGAAAAATTCTTTGATAATTTGATCAACCTTTTCTGTTGTGCAAAAAAGCGGAAAGGGAGAAAACAACTTGTGAACCCTTTCCCCATGATGTTCTGATCAGTCTCGGCTACACAGCCATATTGATGAAAAGAATTGAGCACCGTCTTACAGTATTTATCTGTTTCTGTCCTCCATATAAGTTACTAGTAGTGGAGACATATGGCAATAAAGCTGTCAGAAAAATAAGTCTGAATTTCATGGTTTTGCTAGATCACTGAGTCCAGTTTTAAAGCTACTATCTAAAGATTCTGAAAGAGAATATACTTCTTTTGAATGTGATGGAAAACATAAGTCTTTCAGAGCTTTCTATGCAAAACAAGCAAGGTGATAGCTTTATGTTTTACTAACAATAATTTTCATTTGGGCTAATTGAACGTATGCATGATAGAGGCAAAACATACAAAATATTCTTCTCAATGGAATATCTGTGTATCTCATGTTCAGGTGCTGCTTTTGAGAGTTTAAGCAGAACCTCCAGTAATACCAAAAGAGTATTTTGCACAAATTATCAGGCCTATGAGATAAAACATTGTTTAAAAAAAGAAATATAATCTATTTTGACATTTTTAACCATGTAAATATTGCAGGCTCATCAGTTGCTACAATATGCAAACCTATCTGAACCTCTTTGAGGTCTGTTTTCCTTGTTTGATGGCTTCAATAGTAAAAGCTCACTGCAAGGAAGAAGGGAATAATCTATGTGGTGGTGGTGGCTAGGATGAGACCTAGTGGGTTTAAACTGCAGCAAGTGTTAAATTATATAGGAAGACAATCTCACAGGAATGGCTGGAGACTGACCTAAATGTGTCAAACGTGCCTTGGGGAAAAAGGGGATCCCCATGCTGGCTGCAAGTCCTGCTTGTCCCATGAGTAGCTTAATCCTTACTGAGATCTAATATATAAAAGCCATGTAATATTATTTTAGCTATCTTAGTTCACTGTTCTTGGCTTTAAGAAATAGAGTTGGCCAGAGGATGATAGTTTCTTGCCACAATAATACTTCCAGGTTTACATGTATTTATTTTCCACTCTTTGCAGGATTAAATTGACAGTCTTTCAACACAATGTCATTCTACAGAAAACATCGATTTTTCCCGTCATCTGCTTCACATACTTCCTTTATCATTCTCTGGTTTTGGAGTCAGGAGTGCCACAGAGCCTGGCTGTTACAAGCTTTTCCAGAAGAAATTAATTTTAGCATAAATGACTCCACAAAGCATTCTAGTTTCCATGAAGTTGTATATTTTGAAGAAATACATTAGCTGAAATAGGCTTCACTCTAGTAAAATATAAAACCAAAACCCATCAAACTTCCATTGTCCAGCGAGGCTATCACTAATTGTAAGGTGAAGTTTCTGTCTGAAAATGGAGTGAACTGGACCCTCAGAGCCTGTTCCCTTATCACAGAAGTTAATGGGACTTTTGCTTTGCACTTAGCTCACTGTTTATGGTTTCAAACTCATAATCCCATTTCATACATGTAGGCCTTTTGGTTTCAATGAAAAAAAGTGCATGTGTGAAAAAAGTGACTCAGTGAAAAAAGCTAGTGTGAACAGGACCATAACTTGTTAAAAGTAGTTGATCCATATCTTTTACTCATCAGTATTATGCTAAGACAGCTTCCTTTCTACAGAGAAAGTCATTGCAGTTAATTGGGAATTACCCACTCTCACTGAAGTCCCATGCAGTTTTTAATGCTCATGAAGTAAATCCAAGTCTGTTAATCTTTTCCTAGCCACTACAGAAACCCCCAGTCAGTGGCACCCATCAGTATGGACACACTGCTAGTCCAGAAATTTAAAATTAGAGGACATTGTTTTGAAAAGTATTGGTATTAACACTGAATTACTTTTCATTTCTAAGGCAAGAATTTGTGGGGTTTATGTGTGTGCATGAGAGATAACGTTGAAACACCAAGAGCAACTATTTAAAATCTTTATCTGGCGTCCAAACCAGATAATTCCACCTTGAGAAGAAAATGTGAAAACTAACTTCCATTTTCTTTAGTGGATACAGAGGTTGTTCATCTCCGTGGAGCATTAGACTTAAAATGTCTGCATCTGTATATATTAAAAATAAAGCTTAGCACAATGCAATGTCCTTGAAACATGAATAATAGATACTCTTTAATATACCATATAATTCCTAGACTCCACAAAGTATTACATCCTCACTTAGCTTCAGGGAAATCCAGAGGATTATTTGAATGCTTAAATTTAAGCATCACCGAAAATTTTTTGGTGAGGATGGGACTGAGGCAGCATTTCCCAGGACTATTATCATGGGGAGCAAAAAGTGAATGTGAGAAAAACTAAACTGGAAAGGCTTGAAAGACTCTAATACTCTATGTGAGAGCTCTTTGCCTTTTCCTGGCTTTAGAGCAAAGCATTAATTTACCGAAGCTAATATTCTTTTCCTGAACAAAAAACTCTTACCAGTCGTTGGTCAGCTTGTTGATTTCCGAAAAATGGCATAACATTATACCCATGAATTTCATTCCATCCCAAAATAAATCTTGAATGTTCTCCTAATTTGCTAGTCAGGTTCACCTGCTCTCTTATTTCAGCAAGTTCCTTAATTCCAGTTCTATTTCAATCAGTTTGTTATTCTTACCTGTAAGGATGGCTAGAACAGGAAGTATCTTGAGCATCATTGCAAACACCTTCTTGACGGTGGGAGAGAAAAGAGACCACATGCTGCTTCTGACTTCAACTAAAACTCAGCTGTTATTTTTTTTAAGTGGGTTTTGTTTTCCTTATCGGCTGTGTATCAACACGTCAATAAGCTTTTTCATTCTCCTCCTTTATCACGTGTGTGCCTTTCTCCGACTAGTGGTGTGACTGTTCAATTGAAACCATTTTGTGGGGTTTAAGCAACAGAGGGTTTTGTTAATAATAAACCTTTGAATCAGAGGAGCCCAGATTCTCCCACTTTTACCAGGCCCTAGCAGTATTTGCCTACATAAGTACTTCCACTGAGTATAAGAAAAGTATTTCTGGAGCTATTTAACAGTCAATCTGATTACCGGTGTTGGAGTCAGGCCTAATATGAATAAGGAATAACCTTTATTTCCTGATAATTATATAATTTCTTTTTTAAAATGAGCCTATGGAGATAATATGTTGTTAGTACATTTTCATTTTATAACATATTTCTTATACAGTTTTATACAGAATTATTACATGGGACTCACGATTGACTTAAAATTTCTGTACTGAACTCATCAATAAGATAACACACCAAAATAAAGATAAGTTGTCTTCTAAACTGATAATAAAATCTGTTTCATCTAGTTTTAATCCATGAAGTTGGATGCTATTAATACAAAATGACAAGGTGAATATAATGGGTTTTATTTAAATGTTAATACCTGACATATAGTGAAAAAGCAGTAGATGAAGGTTAGGGCTTAAAGAACTAATTACAATAATTTAGTAATTACTTTCTCCGTAGTAAATGCAAAATGCCTTCTCTAAGTCTCTGAAGCTCATTAGGAACGGAAGGTGCTCAGCTTCTTGCAGGAGCCAGCTTGGCTTGCTTTATTCCATGTCATTTGACTGAGGCTAATTCAAAGCCCCAAGCTGCGATGGGAGTAGCTGGTTCTGCGTACACAGCCAGACGTGAGCGAGTAGCTGAGGACGTAACAGAGGGCAGCATTGCCTTTTAGATGTGTGCCTCTACCTAGGACCAAGACAATTAAAATGGTCAGTGACTTTTTTTTCCATGCTTGTTGAAAACACGGGTCTAGCTCATGCCAGATGATCCTGGCTTTCTAGTGGCAGGCAAGGGCAGCCACCCTTTCCATGGCAGGGCTGTACTGCAGCTGGGGGAGCACTTTTGGCAGGTGGGGCTCAGCATTTGGCCACATGGGGTTGGAGGGGAGGGATATGTCCAGGTTCTCCCTCACATCTAATGTGATGTGGCGGTAGATTCTTCAGCATAGCTGTGAGTTACTGGTTGCATCAGTTACTATTGGATCAGGTTTATGGACGGGTCAATTTTATTCTGCCATATATTTCTGTGTATGGCAGATGCCTGGACAATCTCTGGGCAGATGTCAGGGTTTTATTATTTTCTTGTATGAGCCATCTCCAAAAGTTTTCTAAAGGATGTTGTTTCCTTAGTTCTGTCAGTGCTTCACACAGCACTCCCACAGGGTGGGTGGTGCTTGCCTTTTAGTGATGGGGAGGACAAGACCTGGGACAGTTAAAAGTCTCATCCAAGGATGCACAGGTGACCTGGAGTCCATAAAGGAATATGTACATTGAAAGGCTGAAATTCAAATTCAGGTTTCTTCCAAAACATGAAAAGAGTTTAGATTCCCCTTCTCTAAAGAAACACGAAGGGGTCCCAAATGGGCATGGGAAGTTCTCATTGGCTTTCCTGGGGAGCTGCTGCTATTTTCTAGTCATTTAGCTATGGCTGAGCACAAATTATCTGAACAATCTAGCACAATCTAAAGACCCATTTCAGTGATCGCCTGTGGCAGCTCCATAATACCTAGAAGGAGTCTGACTAATAGCTCACAGAGCATTGATCTTTTGCAAAAGACAGCAATTTTCAAGAAGATGCAAAAAAAGTTGCCACTCCTCACTGCATGGCCAGTACAGCACCTTCATGGTCCTGTGTCTTTACCACAATATCAGTGTGTCCTCTAATTGCCTCTCATTTATCAACACTGAAGTCCTTTCTCTGGCACTTCAGGCACCCTCAGCTAATATATATTTTCTCCCTGTTATGTTCACTTTTTGTCAATTAAGTCTCTGACAGATGACAGAACTACATTCCTGGAGGGTGAAATGCTAGTTTGACCAGAGAACAGAAGCCAATAACACAACTTCTGCACTAATATGTGAGATATTACCAATTATGGTGCAGGTATATCTCTTAGCAAATTATTACAACCATCAATCCTGTTTTACAGAGGATACTGAACACCAGTAGCATTTACTTTTGACTATTACCAGCCTGAGGCTCATTTCACACTGGCCAACCAGAAGCATATACCCTAACACTAATCTTCCAAGCCATCTAGGGTTATTTTCTTACAAAAGTAATAGATGGTACACATCAGCTGCTGGTTTTGCTTCTAGCTCATTGCTACTAGAGAGAATTGCTGCCTGTTCAAGTGTCATCTTAGGAAAAGAACTGAACACAGAAAGTAAAATCTGTTTTGGTCTGATGATGGCTAAGGTTAAGTTACAGGGGGATGATGAAGAACCTCTTGCCACTGGCCCTCGACTAAGAGAACAGCCCAGAGTGCAGCAACGGCAGCAGTCACTTTGCCATGGGTGGAGCAAAGACTCTTATCTCAAGATAAAATGGAACGGGCCAGTACCAGGAACTGTGTATTAGCAGACTTTGTGACTCAAATCTGTGTACACTGAAACATATTCAGAAATGTTCCCTTCCAAGCAACTCCCTTGTATTCACTCTATAAATAGAAGTGCCAGTCATTAAAAAAATGAAGCCCAGAGGCACACCCAGAGGAAGGCAGCATCGCCCAGCCAAGCACTGCCATGCACTGCCATCATATTTAGGGGTTGCTTCTGTCAGCCTGAAACCTAATTAAAAACTTTCCTGTAGAATTCCATGTTTAATCTGACAAAAGCTCAGCAGCACATCAACTACTTTGTCTTCCTGAAATATGCTAAATATGTGATTGTTCAAAGACACCAAAGCCAGCGTAGTGTGATTTATAAAGCTCTCTAGTTCAGTATCACATCTGATTGCTGGGGATGAAGAGTGTAATTAAAGATTCAAACAAGTGCAGTAAAGAAGCTGCTTTAAACCTCTGAATCCATCATTAGGTTGACTTTCAAATGCACTTTACCATTTGTTTGTTTATTGCACAGCCTCATTTGTTGTCTAAAAAATATTTATAAACTTTTGCTGGAGTGTTTGCTGCCTAAAAGTTAATTCATGAACTCACTGTTATTTTCAAGCTTACAGAGAGTGAAAGTCTGTAAAGGTAACCAATAATACAAACCCTTCTGAGAGAGCACCATGGCTTGTCACCTCGAAGTATCTTGGTCAGAATTATACCTAATCCTCTGTATCCAACTCCGAGAACAGGCACAGTTTATTATCAAAAAGCACAATACCATTTCCTTATAAATGTGCTGGACTGGTCTTTTTAGTATTGTCCCTTTTCTCCAGAAAGAAGTACTTTTTTCTTTTTAACCATTCAAAAAGCATGGTCCCCTGGAGCAAACTATTTATCCAAGAAGCTTTCCTCTTTCTGGCAGGGGGATGAAGGGAAAGCACTGAAATGAAATACACCAGATCAGTGATTGCCAGGAGACTAGAGGGCTGCATGGCCACGCACCAGCACTTTGGGCTGGGTTTGGTGGGCTCATACCTGGGCCTTCTGACTTCCTTCTCTGCTAGCCAGGGTCGCGAAGTGGGTTTCCTGGGCACAGCAGAGCAGCAGGGACTCACATGCCACATCTGGCTGTACTGCCTTCTCAGGTCTGCTCCTGAGGGTGGTGTAAAAGCTGTTGGGTTACTGTTGTGGGTATATCCTCAGTGGTTTTGGCAGCCCTAAGCATGCCTCCTTTCTATCCTGCTTACCAATTAGCAACTTCATCCACAGAGAGAAACTTCGCTTTATTTTAAGTAGTGTGTATCATATAATGCTAAATTCCAGCTAGATCTCCCATGCTCCATGTGGTTGGAATAGCTCCTGTTTTGACAAGTGATTTGTCAAGGCACATGTTAGCAATACAGTAGGTGAGCCTGTGCTGGTTGGTAGACCAGGGTGCAGCTAGGAGTGCTCATAAGGGCTTGAGGTTTTCAGTGTTTCTCTTAAACTTACTGAAATGCAGTGGAAAATACAGAGAAAACCATTCAAGCATCCAGCATCATCTTTATCAGCATAGATATGGATTGCAGTGTTCTGGCCCTGTCCCAGCTGAGCAGAGCTAGTCTGTCCTTGATGTGCCCCTGGCAGTTTCGGGTGGACGTGAGCACACAGGGACAGGTATGTTGCTGGGTGCAAACAGGCATCACCCCAAAGCTGGCTGTGCTCTGTGTCCTCACCAGCATGCTAAGGAGTAACAGCTGGGGAGCACTTCAACTATGTATGATTTTTTTATTTCAGTAAAAAATCAAAATTGTAAGCCTGGGCACGAGTAACCCCAGGTTTATCAGCACTGCTCTCCCAGCCAGTGTGTGTGACATGACTCTAGACTGTTCTGTAATTTGAAGGTACCCTGACTCCCTTCCCACAGCCTTCCCACCACAACCTTGTGCTTCCCATTTCCCTGTTGCCATACTACCCCCACTGGCATTTCCAGCACAACTCCATGATTTCTCTCCTGCTCCTCAGAGAAGCTGTGGGCTATGCAAGTTGGCTGGAGGCAGGATTTCATGGGAGAGGAAGGGGACTGAATTCCTTCCCCTTCACAATGTCCTGTGGGCCCATCCCACTCATGTAACCCGCCCCCCAACACCAAGGCTGCCCTCATCACTGTAATTGTTTTGCTGATACTGTTCACAATGGCTCATTTTTCTTATGGCAGGGGTTACTGTAAAACTACACACAACTCTCCAGAGAAGGCTGCCTTCACACCATCACTTGCTGGCCTCAGCTGTCAGTGGAGGAATACTTGTAAAGAGCCCTTTGTGAAGATACAGTCTGAAGGTTTTCAGGAAAAATCAGATGCAACGTACCCTTCATCTTTCTCCTCTTCCCAACCAAGGAAA